CCAATGATGAATATCATTATATTGTATACCTAAAATGTACCAATAAAATAAAATTTTAAAAAAAGAATATACAAGTTGTGGACTTAGGCTTGGTGTGATTTTTCAGGGAAGTTTTATAAAGATGTTCCAAAGGTGTTTCTCTTATGTTTCTGTCTTAACTAAAGCATTTTAATAGCAATGAGAATGCCACAATTTCCACTTCCCTCCACCAAAGGTGTTTCTGGTCACTGTTGCATTTGGCTATGAGAGACTTACGTTCTTAATTCCATAGTACTTACTAGGGCACCCAGGCAATATTTATTTCAAGTTACACTGAGAAGAGGACATGCTCTATTTATACAGCTAGGTAATACATAAGCAGAAGATAGGGAGGGGCTTATCTTATCTCTTCCAAAGTGTCTACCAGTGGAGATTAAACAATTTTTTGAATAAATTGTAAATGTCCTGGTTTATCTGACTCTACTTCCTAACATGTATATCCTACAGCTAAATGTTACTTGCTTCAAAAAATATAGGAAAGTTGAGAATATTTTCTTACCTATCTAATTTCACTTCAGACATGTCTTTCCTAAATGTATGAAATATTTTAGGAAAACCTGTTAAATGAAACATTTAAAATTTTAGCCACTCCCTCTAAATCAGTAGTCCTCAAAAGGGCAATTTTGTCCCCTGGGGAACATGAGGCAATATCTGGAAACATTTTTGATCGTCGTCTGTGTGTGTGGCCAGGGATCCTACTGAAAAACCTACAGTGCACAGGACAGCTCACTCCCAGCCCAATCAAAGAATTATCCTGGTCTAAATGTCAACTTTGGGAGTTTCAGAAACCGACTCTAAATCACTGCTGTGCCTCTCTTTTATAAGGCAGTGGCTGAGTGATTCCACTACAGGAAATCAAAAACACAAAAGAAAGCTGGGCTTTATCTACAGGACAGTTCCAGTAGCACGGCACCCTCAAGCGCGGCTCCTCCAGGGATAACGAGCACCGCAAACAGCCCGCCTTAGTTTCACCTTTTACGAAGCGACTCATCTACATCCTAAATTATGAACCATGCCCACAGCCCAGCTCAAATGCCAGAGGAGACAGAGATGGACCGGGTGCGTGTGTAGTGCAGCTGGTAGCGAGGAGAACCCCAGGCAGAAGTGGGCCGGGGCGTGGGGAGCAGCCGAGCACGGCTGGCAGGGCGTACTCTGCTGGGAGGAGACGTGGGACGGCGGGGTCTCGGCGAGCGACGGGCTCCACTTGAGGCTTGAGGGCGCGGAGGGCGAGGAGGGCGGCGTCGGACTCAGGCTGGGGCTGACCACGCTGATCAAGTGGGGCCGGGGTTCCAGCGACTCCTCCCATTCATCGTCCCTGTCATGGGGGTCAAAGATCGTCCAGAGGTCTTCGTCGGGGAACCTCCCAGGGTCCTCCACTTCCGGCTCCTCCACCTTCGCTTTCTCCTCCGCCGCTGCCACCGCCTCCTCCACCTCCTCCACCTTTTCCTTCACCTCCTCTTCCACCTCGTCCTCCTCCTCTTCCTCTCCTAGCTCCTCCTCCTTCATGCCCTCCTCCTTTTCTTCGGGCTCTCGGAGGCTTCGTTGCGGGCGCTGGTAGGACACGCTGGGCGGGAAGCGGAGCTGCTGCTAGCACTGTCTGGTGCAGTCGCCGCCTAGGCCTGTCAAGTCCCCAGGCGCCTGGCTCAGCGAAGCGTCTGTCCGTCTCCCTGGGCAACGCCTACCCCCTACCCCCTCGCCGAGCCTGCCGGATTTAAAGAGGCAGGACGCCTTTAGCCCCCAGGCGTAGGTGTCGAGAGACCGCGGGCTGGGCGACCCTCAAGTTCTTTTCCAGCCCTGCTCCAGCGGAGGGTGTGGGAGGGTGTCATCCAGACCCATCGCGGCCTGGGGCAAGTGATCAGCTTACTTGAATTTTTTAAAAAGTGGGCGCAGGAACCGGCTTGTACACCCTTAAAGCCATTGCTTATCGGAATGTTGTGGGGTTGAAGTAGACAGATGCCTGTTGGAACTTTCGGCCGAATTCTGTTTACAAAACCAGGCGTTAGCCTTTGAGTTTTAAAACTATGGCCTTCAGTATTACCTTGATTATGAGATTTTTGACATCCCTGTCCCTTTTATTTTGGAGCAGAGAAAATTTGCACCTTACTCTAGTCGGAGTCCTGCTAATTACTTGTTCATCCATCCATCCATCCTATAGGTGGAAAAGGCCACACAGGCACCCCTCCTCCTAGCTTTCTTTTTGTTTCACTCTACTTAAATTTTTGTAAGATATTTTATATACACAAAAAAGGTATACAGGCGATTGACCAACCTTTGCATCAGGTGACTGGGCTTGGGCCTAGAAGTCCCTTTGTATAATTTCAGCTAAACCACTTGACCTCTTTCAGCCTCAATGTTCTGGGGTGTAAACTGGGGACAAGGATATTTGCAGATATCAAAGATCGTTGAGTGGTTGCTTATAATTATAAATGTGTTTCATCCAAAGGCTACCTGGAACACAGATGTGGTGAAATAAGCATCGAGGCATCTCAGCAGGAGGATGTTAGAGCCTATTAGAGCATTTAGGCTTTGTTTAGGTGATGTAGGTAAAGATCTAAGGAGGTGAGTTTCTGTCAGAAAGCAGGGCAATTCTATGATGGAGTGATTTGCAATGGCACAGTGACCTTATTTTTATTTGTGTTTAGACACAACTATGAAGTGATTTTGTTGTGTTTCCTTTTATCATGGCATCAGAGTAATCTTGTCTGATGTTGTTATTTCCTTGAGAAGGTTTCTATACAACAGAAGAACCAAGTGGCCTGCCTGTGAGCATCAGACCAGCTTGTAATAGTATTTTTTTCTTTTTTTCCATTAAGTTTATTGGTACATTTTAGGTATAAAATACAGTTACATTCATCATTGGGATCTTGTACCATTACGTGAGTATCTTGGTTCTTATTTTTTTCCCCTTTCCCTGCCCTCCCTTCGCCCCCTCCACTCTGCCCTATTTACAAAGGTTTTGTTTCCATTTTTTTTCTTTTCT